GAGTTTGTTTATTTTTTCGGTTTTAGTATTCATTGTTTATATAAAGTTTGTAATATGGATAAACAGGTTGTCTGAGGTTTATAAGTTTGCAGACAAAAACAATCCTTAAAGCTGTATCTGCATGCATCTAAAATTATGAAATAAATAAATTAAATCTGCTTAAATATAGATGTATATATATATATGTAAAATAAGTATTTCTATGGCTTACCCTCAGGTCATTCATACCGAAGGATAAATAACTTTCAGACTACGTGACTCAGCAACATGGAATAGAATGAAAGGAAAACACTTTATTTATCCCCGATAAGGGAAATTCAAATATTCCTGCCAGTCAGAGTTTGTACATTTGAATTAATTTATCCCAGAAAAAAAAATATATAAATAAAAATCATTATGAATATGTCAGCAGTCAGAGTATAACCTTATAGTTGGGGGACTAAAGGCCCTCCTGAGTCCTGAAGCCTCAGAGGCGGGCGTTGTTTTTCTCCATTACAGATTAAACTTTTTACTCTTCTTTTACTCCATCACAGTGTTATAATCTACTTACCACATGACACCAGTTTATGCAGGTCCCTGCTGTTTTCTAAGCCACCGTCTGACAACATGCGCCCTGCAAACGTCGGCCGACCTGAATTAGTTCCATCCAGTTATTGGAGACCTCCACAAGGCCCCTGTTCTCCCCGTATGACTACAATAAGTGTAATTATGTGGGGATTTGGTTTAAATGCTGCTGCCTTCCTGAGCATTGCTGCTATATGCACTAACATTTATGACCCATCCCCAGATCTCAGTCCATTAGAGCACCTTTAGGATTTAATATGATGCCAACAAATCTGCTGTAATGTCAATATGGGAAAAAAAACTTTGCTTAGTGTTTCCAATGCCTTGTTGAAGGTATCCCAAAATAATCAAAGCACCTTTGAAAGGGTCCAGCTTTTGGTGTAGCAGAACCAGATTCCTGAAAGACAATTAGAAAACACTGGATCTGGTTGTTTTTTTGTCAAAATAAGCTGTTGATTTGTTGTGTCCACAGTTCTGTCTTCTTCTGTTATTACGCACAAATTATTGTCATCTTAGTTACACACAATTAATTTATCAGTGGCCTTGGTCACACAAGTTACTTACTAGCGTACAAAGTAATAAATGTGAGCTGCATTCAAACTGAAAACTGACTGATGATCAAGCATTTGGATGTTCGTGGATTCAAATGTCATGCTGCTCTAAGCCATCATGATTATAAATCATGATTATGAAAGAATAAATTAGTCGTGAGAGTGATTCCTTTTAACCATGAAGGATGCAGGCTAGGTCCATTAAACATACTAAATCCTCAAAATATACAATAATTACACCGCTGTCCAGATAAAGACAGTAAAATATGGAAGAAGTGATGTGGATAAAGCATTTACAGGTATTCTGTTAATGCTTTCTGATGGATTTCTTTTGCCCGAATGATTCAGGAAGCGATTGGTCACCAGTTCCCTCTGGAAAAGGACAAGCACCTGTTCCTAAAGGACTAATGTTTGAGCTCATTAAAAGATCCAGGCAGTGTTTGCCATTAGCATCCAGAGAAAGCTGCTCACTAAGATGACCCGAGCAGCTCGCTGTCCTTTGTCTGTTTCACACACATTTCTTCTTTTCAAAAAGATCTGAACTATCCTCCTGAGCAGAAACAGGAGGACCAGATCTTCTGTCTAAGTCTCACAAAGCTATTGAAAGAAGAACAAAAGGATCCATCATGACCAGCTGTATGCAGAGG